CCAAAATCTAATTCTCAATTCCGTCATTAGTCTATCAAAGCACATACATCCACCCGCCCTCTTTGTGTTTTGTGTGTAGTGGGGGGATGACAGGGAGGGTACACAATGGTCATGCAACAATGCACACAAGACTTTTCTTAAGATAAGAAGTGGAAGACTAAGCATGCTCTTCCCTTGTGACTTCTTTGACGTTTGAATCTAAGAATTCTACAAAGACGAACCACAGCAAACCACATGTATTCTAGGCATTTCTTCCATCTGACCAACACTTTAGCCAAGAATCCAGTGCATGGGTACTGACATAAGGCTCAATCTAGAAATTTGGATGAGAGAATCTGCCAAGTCAAAGGGAACAGCTCCATCTAAGTTAGGATAAATTTGGGGTCCCTAGCCATAGTCTTGGTCCAGACCAATAAGGTCTAAAAAAAACTACCACGGAGGCATCAACGGACTGCATAGCAGGGCCACCGAAAGCAAATTAGGCAATAAAGAGTGCTTCTAACCTCTTGTCCATGTGGGTAAACTCACACTTCGGTGCCCCAGAATTAACCCTATAGGGGACTGAAGCTATGAAGTGGATTACCTGAGGGGCTTTAGGTATTTACCAGGATGTGCAGTGGTCAGCTTGCAGTTTGATCTTTGCCCTCTGAATGGGGGGTTTCCATTAGGACCCTGGCCGTGGACCTGTAAAGCACCCTGCACAAATTGCACAGGGAGGGCTCTGAATGGAGGGTCCAATGTGAAGTATACTACAGGCCAGCTCTGCATCTTTCTTTTGGCAAGATCCAAGTACAGTCCACCAAGGCTCTGGCAAGGATTAAATAAATGGATAACTGTTGGAGGAGCTACAGTGGCTTAAAGCAGAATTACGGAAACTTGCTTGAAGAATCTTGAAGTAAACAAAATATTTAAAACTAGTGAAAAATAGAGTACTTCCCTCAGAGCTGAGAGAAGACTTCCATCATCTAAGGACATTAGGAAAAATCTGAGGCAGGCAGGAAGTGGGATGGGTTATGCAGGGCTGTCCTGCAGCTTTGATTCATTTTCCAGTGTTCATGATTAATTTGCCAGTGTCCAATCACCTGAAGGTAGCTGCATAACCTGGTGGCCTAAGAATTAACTCCCTGAGTCCTGTGATGAATGAATAAATAAAATTTAGACAATAAAGTGTACCTATAAGTAGAAAGAATTATGGCTGCTAAACCAATAGGGAGTGTCAGGAGCAATAGGAGAGTAGGTTAGAGGGTCATGGCTTGCATAAAAGCTGAACTCCGAGCACAAAAAAAAGTTAATTTAAATATACTCCTCAACAACCTCAAAGGATATAAATCAACAAAATGCCTTTACATCCCCAGTTATAACGTTGTAAAAAATATTGGACATCATCACTGTGCTGTTTATAGCCTGTGCAGAGAGCAAAGATGTGGGAGAGACTCAATAGGTCCACAGACTACAGGCTGCCTGCAGAAAACTACAGGAAAGGCTGGATACAAGACCAGTCATTCTGCACAAGAGCAGTAGTGCCTGGTCTTTATTACAGGAAACTCCTGTATAGAGGTAACATTTCACACTGGATTACTTCACAGAGCTGGAAGAAATTACACCAAGATTCAGGTAAGAATACATGTGCCTCTTGAATTTAGACAGCATTACCATCAGCTTTAATTATTACATTATTACGTTATGTAACTTGGATCTTAGTTTAAGTACATATGGTAGTCTTGTAACCAGTATATTCTACCGTAGCATTGACTGTTCTCTTTGTTTTAATAGTCATTTTAGCTGCCATGTAAACTGCTTCTTCCACTAGTTAAATTGATTGTGGGTTTTGTGTATTACATTAAAAGTCTCAAGAGAGTTCATTAAAATTAATGTTTCTATAATTGCATTAATTCATAGACCATTTGTACTGTAATATATTATTTACCATTTGAAATGACCATTATCGAATTGCATGTGGTGCTCAACCTCACGTGCTTAAACGGCTATTATCATTTTGAAATTAGTTCTCATTAGATATATTACCCTATTCCTTTACTACAGGGGAAGCAGAGACATAATAAATATTAACTTTCATGGTCTAATTAAGTATGGTGTTCTTAGTCCATCTATGAAAGACCATTTCCTCCTTTGATATTTAAAAAACCTCTATATTATTTTTATCAGGATTATAAAATAGCAAATGTTGTAAAAATATAGTTATTATTATTATTATTATTATTATTATTTTTTGTGATACTATAAATTATACAGGATCATATACAGTATATGACCACAGGAATCTAATGTTTTCATGCAGCAGTTTTGCTATGCAGATGGATATAAGTTACTCTACCTAGTAAAGTATATCAGCAAAGTGATAAGCAATAACTTGTAGCACTTCATCACATATTACAGGATCATTTCAACCATTACTGCAGTCATAAGTAAACTCATACAATATTGCATAATGTCCAGTTTGAACTACTCTTTGTTTTAACGCCCAACTCAATTTATGCTTTTACATGTCCCCCTGGAGGTTTAAAGTACCTCTTCTTTGTCAGAACATGTCCTTTCTCTTCTAGATTGAATGATCTCTAACATCACTCCACCCCAAAGACTGAGGAAAAACAGTGAGTGTTGCCCTGCACTTGCAGTATATTGAGGCAGAGAGTGGTGATGATGTCTTAGGGGGTGATTTACTAACCTAAACACACGCACGCACTAGGTGCGTGTGATTTTTACACAGCAAAACGTATTTATCAACCAAAAAGTCTCTAAAAGCATATTTCCACTAATGCCATATATGGAAAAATCATGCACATGATGCATATATAATGCTGCTTCACAGTTTAGACAAAAATGGTTAGCTCATGCATTTACATTCCTGCATTCATCAACGCAAGCAACACAACATAGAGCTAATTTACACAACATCAACCTGCAATTCATGCTTGGCTTTGCACAGCACACCTGCTGGGTGTGTACACACTACAAAGGTGTTTAGATTCCACCCATAGATCATGCTGGGAGGGAACACACTACAGAGGTGTATACATGTTCGTGGTGTGTTTATAAGGTTAGTAAATCAACCCCTTAATATCAGCACTGCTCTCTGCATTATCCAGGACCACACACATACTGGAGAAGACTGGAGGGGACCTTATGTTTAGTGTGACCAAGCTGGAGACATCAGAAAAAGCAAAACAACCCATAAATATGCTGCTGTTAGGGACCTGGGGGTCCTCTGGAGGGTAGGAGAGGCATGGAACCCAGAGCTGGGCTTTGAATATAAAATCTAGAAGTCTCTAAATTACATTTAAGAGCTCTAGCACATTTAGCTCCTATCTGCGACACCAATTATTGTCAGCTTTAGTACATTGATGTTGAACTAAGAGCATTCAGTGTTCAGTTGTTTGCACAAACCTAAGCGTACAAAAAATCCTTGTGCCGCAGTCAGGTTATTGTAGGCCAACACCTGATGTGAGTGGATCATTAGGTGTTCTGCCAAATAATGCATCTAAAAACAGAACACAGTCTCAGGTGGCTTATTTGCTGCAATAGTTTGTGTATCACCAGTTGTTTCATATTAGTCAAACCAAGCTAACCAACAATATATAGATGTCCTGTTAAGTAAGCTTCAAGATGTTTCAATTGCAAAATCAGTATGAATGAAATATAAACATAAAACAAGAAACTAGGCAATTTCTATAATTAAACTAAGACAGCTGTAATTAAACAAATGAAGCAGCTACCGGTACCTGTAGTATAAAAGGGAGAGACTAATTTGGCAATGACCATGAAGTGCCTTGGGAACTACCTCATTTTGTGTGTCCTAGGTGGATTAATGCTACATGTTTGACACATAATAATAAAGCATATAATACTGACAACTGCATTTTAGTACAAACAAATACCCTGCATATATTTGTCCAACAGTATGTGCAGTCTCTTAAAGTGAATCCATAGTGTAGACAATGAAGAAATCATTCTTACTTTTTACATTCATGCTGCCATTGCTAAACAATCAGTAGTAGAACTCAGAGTGAAGTTGGCAGCTCATGACACTCCTCTCTGGCTGAAAACTGCAGATATCTTTTTTAAATCGTGATGCATTCAGTGGGATTGATTTAAAGAAGTATCGGCTGGTTATTTCGAAAAATATATTCTTACTTTGAAAGGTGAATGCTAGTAAATAAAGCGCAGCTGTGCTCACTTTTAAAAACTCTAACACAAATAAAGGAAAATTCAAAACAGATTTTTTTTTGCAGCACATGATTGGTTGATTGCAATATACACAGATTTGCCTTTTTTACTAAGATCAGTGAACATTTTCTTCACTAATGAACAGCCTATTACTCACACAATTCAACAAGTAATTTCATTGCACCAAGCTACTACCAACTGCCCATCCCGTATATGTTTAACTCCATCATCTGTATTTTACATATCTTCATACCTGAAAGGTATCTAGAACTCATCGTGCATAAGACTGAGATGGTTATCTTTCTTGCTTGACCTTTCTTCCTTCTTCACCTTAGACTTGTCTCTAAGCATAAATGGCATATTAATTTTAATTATCTTACGTGTATGACTTGACTCTCAACATACCATCTTCTGTCACTTTAATGTCCCCAAAATATGCCCCCTTCCTGAATCACCAAAGCCCTTGTCCATGAATTCCATGATCTCTAACCTTGCCTCTTGCTAAATATGCCATCTGACATTCCACTAACTCACACCTGAAGCCAAAGACCTCTCAAAGGTCTCATAGCAAAGACCCATGCAAGGAAAGTAAATGCTAAAGCAGTAACTTTTCAAAGTCATTAACCTTAACATGGACTGTTGGAAGATCAGTACCTGGTGCTTTGTGGCAAAGAACACTGAGAAATAGTTATAAAATCTGTTTTAAAAAATCACTGCAAAGTTGACTTAAATAGGGTTGAAACTATATGTGTTCAACCACATTTTTAGCTATATCTAAAACTATAGAAAGTGATATAAACAACACTCTAAGTTACCTTGCTTTTGTTGAATGCGGGACTTTTTACAATGGTAGATAATTTCCTGTATGCAATGTTCAGAATTGTTAATTGTAGCCTGGAGCTGCTCCATGTCAGCAGAGTATTTGAAATTCATTGTGTGGGGGAACTCTCGATTAGAACTCTTTACCTTATGCAGCTCTGTATTGTTGTGATGTAAAATACTTATTGCCGAATCTAGTTAGAGTAAAAGAACAAAATATACATTTTAATAAAATGTTTGATCAAAGGTTTAAATTAGGGATGTCCCGATACCGATGCTAGTACTGGTATCGGGGCCGATACAGGGCATTTTCAGGAGTACTTGTACTCCTGAAAATGCCCCGATGCATAGATCAGATACCGGCCCTTTAAATTTTTTTTAACTAGCTTCGGCCATTGACCCCCATAGCCCCTCCCCCGGAATACCTCTCCACCAAACGCAGGCTCCCTCTATGCTCTGACCTCTCCGGACGGAAGTGTGACAGCATTGCGGGCGGTAAGTGTTCTGTGTGGACAGTCTCTTCTCCCTGCTGGTGCTGGCTGCAGCAGTGTGTTCCTTTCACAGACCGCTGTAGCCAGCACGAGAGGGGAGAAGAGACTCCAGCTGTGGAATCCCCCGCTGCCCCCCTCGCCCCTGTACCTTAGCTGCTGCTGCTCCGTGTCCCCTCTTTTTCAACTTGATGAAGCTGTTTGCTTTTGTTGATATATCACAAAGTGTCAGATGTCCGTACTCCTTATGTGTAATGCATTCACCCGATGTACACAGCAGTTTTCACTCTCAATGAAAGAAGAGAATTTCCGTTCAGTGTGCTCACGGGGGAGGAGAGGAGAGAAGCTGTAAATCTTGCCTTCACACAGAACGGACCTTCTCTTCTTTCATTGAGAGGGAAAACTTCTGTGTACGTCTGGTGAGGGCATTATTAAACACATAAGAAGCATGGACAGCTGACACTGAGACGTATCACCAAAAGCAAACTGTTTCATCAAGTGGAAAAGGAATGGACACTTGCAACAATAGCCAGCCTGCTACTGGATATTTTAAATTGCAATAGCCAATAGCAGGCTTGCTATTGTACCCGTCCATTGCCTGCTGTCAATCAGGAGAGAGGACCTGATTGAGAACTTTGTCTTCAGTTCCCTCCTTTGCTGATTGACAGCAGGCAGTGGGCGGGTACAATAGCCAGCCTGCTATTGCAATTTAAAATATCCAATAGCAGGCTGGCTATTGCTCCCAGCCACTGCCTGCTGTATTTACATTCAGTGAATCCAGTGAAGTAGAAAGGTGACACTAGAGGTCTAAAAGACCCCTAATGTCACCTTAAAGAGAACCTGTCACCTCCAATGCACGCAGCACTGGTGAGAAACTGCCCTAAAATCATTAGTCTGTATTGTTTTAGAAAAAATGCCACATGTCCCTTTAAGAAAAAGTATCGGTAATTGGTATCGGCAAGTACATGAGGGACAGTACTTGTACTTGGTCTTGAAAAAGTGGTATCGGGACATCCCTAGTTTAAATGTTTCTAATATTTAAACAAAAAAATACACTTTCAAAAATGTTTGGCTTTTAAATGTATATCCGTCATAACATTCCTAGGTCAGTGTAAATACTACATTGCTTACATTCTGCTTGCCTACAGTCCATCCTGTGACCTGTATGATTTAGTGGTGTTGATTTACTAAAGTCAAATAGGTTGCAAATAGGCTGTTCACTCTCCAAGGGAATTTTTACTTTGCAAGGAAATTTTCCCATTGCTTAGTGAATGCGGTGACAATTCACTCCAAAGACTACCCAATCCTGTGCAAGGGGGAAAAAAACTATTTTTGCTTGCACATAATTAGATGATGGAAGTCAACAGACATTCACCTCATTCACTAAGCTAAGGGGAAATTCCCTTGCAAAGTGAACAGACTATTTGCCTTTAGTAAATCAAGCCCTATGTCTTTAGTGACAAAAGTTGTAAAGGATTGTTTCTTAGTTGTAATGCCCTCATGTAACCACTGGAAATCATAAACTGCAACATGCATGCAGCTCTTGCAAATGTTTAGCTATACCTTGTCCGTTTTACCATTTCAAATGGTTCTAAAGAGTAGTATGCATAACCATGGATCACATAGCCTCTTTGAGAGTGCAAACTAGCACAGGAAAACCCTCAATATTCATATGTATATAACTGCATATATATATATA